ATACCCTACTTGTGGTTAGTAAGCGACTCTGCTTTTTAAATGATGTGTGTGTGTTACTGGTTTTAAAAGTTGCTCCACATTCCTCCAGGGCTCGGGTCATCACATGGTATTCGGCCGTGCGCTCTGCATGGGCTGCACTGGAATCGTGTGCCCACACCTCTGAGACCTGTGCCAGTGTTTCTGCAGGCTGGATGCCTACAGGTGGCATCCATGGGTCAAAGGCTACATTTACAGTCTTGCTGAAGAGGGAGGAATGAGATCTTGGGGTGCTGTAAGAAGCACTGCCTCTCTATTTGTGATATTTTGTTTAAGCAACAATAGGAAGCCAGAAGTGTATGCTAGAATTTGATAGGGCAGTGTGATGGGCATACAGGTATGTTATTTATTGTGTTTGTCTGTTATAGTTCAAATATTTCAAAATAAAAAATATTAATTAAAAAATAAAGTCTCGATGATAATGACAAGTTGTTCTCCTAAAAAGCTTATCAAATTAAACCTCCACCAATTATGCAGGACATTGCCAGCTTCCCCATAACTTCTGGGCACCGTGTGGAGGAGGGTGGTTTGGAGGGTATTCTGACACTAGTTGGGTGCTGTCCTGTTCCTCAGCCTTCCCCATGCCATGTATGTCCAGGGGCCTACTGCACCTGAGATTCAGTGCTGGGGATTTTCCCGTGGCCTGAACCTGGAGATGAGGCAGGGAAATTGATGCAACACTCCCCCAGGCACCATGACAGAGGATGTAGTGCCTGGAGATTCAGGTCCAGGGCAGCCAAGTTCATGCCTGCTGGGTTTCATCCAGAACTAGAGACACAACTGTGTTTCATCCAGAACTAGAGACAAGAAAAGGAAGCAGGAAGGTCAGGAAGTGTCTGGAAAGAAAACGTTTCAGCCAGAACTAGAGACACAACTGGGTTTCATCCAGAACTAGAGACAAGAAAAGGAAGCAGGAAGGTCAGGAAGTATCTGGAAAGGAAAAAGCAACCACTTTCTGCCTTTGGCATCTGGTTAGTCTGCTCCAGACTCACCACTAGAATGGCCTCGCTTTGTCCCCAGAGTCCATCGCCAGCAGGGGGTGCCCCTACCCTAATCAGGACAGGTCCACAGCTCTGGGGGCACTGAGGCCTGGAGGAAACACCTGCTTCTCCACCCTCTGGGCCCCTGGGACTCTGCAGTCCCCTCAGGCCAAGACTTGATTTCTTTACTCTAAGGCCATGAGACTTGAGTTCCAGGCCAGTCTCAACCACCAGGTCACTGTGAGTTTCTATTTCTCTGCTTCAGTTTTCTTAGCTGTTAAAAAAAAAAAAAAAATTAAAAAATGAAGGGGTAAAAAGGAATGCCAGGCAATAAATCACTTAAGAGCATTTTGGTTTATAAAATAACTTATTCCATTAATGCTCACTTTGGCCCCATTTTACAGATGAAAAAAATAAGTCTCAGATCTGCCCAAGTTCACCATGCTGGTCAATCAGAACTTTCTAAGCAAATTCTGTGTTCATTCAACTTGACAATACTAATATTATAAAACTGGGATTTTTAGGGCCCACCCTAACATAGCTGAGTAGTTTTAATTAGGTGCAGTCACACACACCTGGACCTTGAACTTGGTGGGCTACTTGGTTTTCTCACCCAGAATAGTAACCTGTATTGAGAATTTACATGACAAACACTGTGCTGCTGACTTACTTAATTTGTCTTCAAAACAACCCTGAGGCATTATAATTACTCCTGCTTTACAGTTGGAGAAGTGAGTCTTGGAGAGGTCAGCAGCAGTGACCTAGGCACAGAGAAATCAATGGAGAATGGAACATGGAAGAAGGCTCCCAAAGAAAATATTCAAGAAGGGAAATTTGACAGGCTACCTGGTAGATCTAAAAATATGGGTGCACACAGTTGATGGAGAATTTAGAATTGTACATAAAACAAGCAAGCAAAAAATGGCGATTGTTAACTCCAGGAAAAATGAAAAGTTGGCAGGAAATGAAAAGTTCAGTTGTGAATTGGATTTAAGTAGTCATACTAAATACTAATTCTTATATAACCGGGATCCTAGATATGACTACATTGGGAGGTTAGGAGGGGACAGAAAGGGTACCTGTGAGGTGATGGTAGCGGTGAAAGGGTGAAATCAGGAGCTACAGCCTAAAACAGAAGCAAAAAATAGCCATATAGCATGTTGATTTAGAAATGGGGAGCTGTACAGCCAAAGAAACAGCTCAACAAGGTGTTAAAAGTGGTGACTTCTAGAGAGCGGAAGCGTGAGAGAAATGTATTTTCTAAGGAACTCTTACAGAATGATTTGACCCCAGTTCAACTATGTGCTTGTATAGCTTTAATGATACTTTATTTATTTTTAATATTTATTTATTTATGCATACAAAAGCTAGGGTGCGGGCCAGAGGTATGTGGGGGGAATGTGAGAGGATTCACCAGAGACAGTGTGGGGAGCAGAACAGGTGGATCTACTGAAATACACTGCTGAGGGGAACAGTAGGTAAGATAGGGGAGGTCTGCTGCGCCATGTGGGTTGCTCCTGGGGGATCGAACTCCTGTTGCAGTGGCTGACGATAGCCTGATAGCGCTGTCTTTAACCCCTGTGCCACCAAGGAGGCCCTAATGATACTTTAGAAAAAACAATGAAAGGAAATAAATACTGTGTGGTCTCAATGTGTAATCTTAAAAAAACAAGAAAACAGATTAGGGGCTGGTGGAACTGTGGAAAAGTGGAGGGTTAAGTGGGTGAAGGGGGCCAAAGGTACAAACTTACAGTTATCAAAATAAAATAAGTCCAGGGGACGTAATGGACAATATGGTGAGTATAGTTAATAATAAAATATTGCAAATTTGAAAGTTGCTGAATCAATCTTACAAGTGCTCATCAGAAGAAAAAAAATAATTATGTATGCTGATGGATGTTAACTAGACTTATTGTGGTGATCCTTTTGTAATATATATATATATCAAATCACATGAAACTAATATAATGCTATATTTCAGTTATATCTCAATTTAAAAAAATTCATGATCATCTAAATCTGATGTGGAGGTGGGGTTTGAACCCCAGTAGACTCTGTGGAGCTGATACCATGGGCACTATAAATACTGCCCATCAAAAAATATATACCTCCCAGCACCATAAAAAGCAAGTGGATGATACAAGAGATTCAGTAGATGACAAACAATAGGTGTTTAGAAAAGGAAAATTATTTTTTTATCCCATGGAGTCAGCCACAGCTGGACACACTTCCAGTAAGGACGGCAAGGAAGACCCACTTCCTGCCTGGGTCTAGGCCTGAGGGGCCCTGGGGCTTTGAAGCACCTCTCCTTCAAGTTCTCTGCCTGTCCTGCCAGAGCAAGGGACTGCCCCAGGCCCTCAGTGCCATCTGAAACAGGTTCTCCCCTTCAGGGAATTTTCCTGCCCTCTACATTCCCTCCTGCCTCTCTTCACTGGGGTTGACTAGACGCCTGGAGAAGCTCCAGGACTGGTGTTCTGGGTCTTCCCAGGGTCTCTGGTTGGGGGAATCCAGGAGGGTGCACTATTTCCTTCCTAGGGTGCTGTTTCACTCACAGGATAGTGAGCGATTGGGCAGCCAGAAGGATGCCAAGACAAGGCTTTGAAATAAATAACATTGTTTATATAGACAGGGACCCAGCAAAAACTCTTGCCTCGGTCTTTGACAAGCAGGGGCAGCTGTGCCGCTGGGTCCTGCCACATCAACCCTCCTCTCTCCTGTGGCTTAATCTCTGCCATGTAGCTGTGACTGTAGGTCTCCAAGCACCTAAGCAGAGAGTGAACCATTTGGTGAGCACCCAGGATGACTTTGCCTCTCATTCACAGGTGAACATTCCTTCCCAAGTGTGCTTTTATGGAACATTTGCTATGTGCTAGGGCTGGGAGCAGGACACATCCCTGCTCTCTCTGAGCTCACAGGCGGGAGGTGACACAAGGAGGGTGGCAGGTGGGCACAGCTCAGTGAAAGTGGTGCCAAGGTAGGAGCTGCTGAGCACAGAGCAGAAGCCCGATGTGGCCTCCAATGGCCTCTCAGAGCCGGGCTGCCCAGAGCACCGTGGTTTAGGATGAGGGCTGGACTCTAAGCTTCCAAGCATCCTTCCAAGCCTAAGATTCTATGATACTCCATTCCAGATCTTTCCACTGTTGCAGGTCATAACTGAGCTCAGGTATATGCCTGTGCACGCGAGCCAGGACTGACTCCCTCTCCGGTGCGCGCTGCCAGAGGGGACCTGAGGGGATCATCCAAGCAACTTTCCATTGTTCAGTTGAGAAAACTGAGCCCCACAGAGAAGGTCTCGGAGAGTTAGTCACAGAGCGAGGGCGAGCACTAGGACCTCTGGTTTCCCGGCTTGGCTTCTCTCCCCACACCCCACCGTGGGGCGAGTCCTCCATCCGACCCCCTCTCAGCAGGGCGCACGAGGTCTCCCATTTGACAAAGAGGAGGCTCCATCCCAGCTGGCGTCTCACGTGCCCACTTTGGGATTCAGCACTTCTTCACTCCACAGACGTTCCTGGAGAGTCTACCATTACCAGGTCTCCCTGGGCAGACAAGCGGCCCCACCAGTTTCCGCCCCTAAGAAGCCCCGGCGAGGGTGGAGCGGCGGACCCCGACGGGCACGTGACCCGGGGCCTCGGCGCACCCACCTGCGCGCGGAGCTCGGCGCGCTCGCGGGCGGCGCGGGCACCGCCACGGTCATTTTCGACGCCAAGCGGCGGCGGCCGGGTCGCTGGGGCCCGGGGGCCGCCCGCGCGCCCCGATTCCACGCGCCGCTCCCCGACGCGCGGGCGGGGCCGCGCCGGCAGCATCGCCCCGCGCCTCCTCGGCCCCGGTCCCGCTCGGCGCGCGGAGGGCGGGGCGCGGGGGCGCGCACGCAGGCCGGCGGGGGCGCGCGGCGCCGGGGACGCGCACGGGCTGGTCTCTGCCCTAATGCGGCGGCTGGCGGCGAGAGGCGCTGCAGGGGACGCGGGGGAAGTGGCGGCGCGGGCCGCGGACGGCACCGACTGCGCCCGGGGCTGGCGCCCGAGCTCTCGGAGGTAGGCGAGCGCCGACGTCGGGGAGCCGGGGTCGGGGGGAGGGGGATCGTGGAAAGCCGCCTAGCGACACCCCCTTGTTCCCGCCCTCCTCTGTCCGTCTCCATCCCCCGACCTGGCCCCATCCCCCACCATCCACAGCCCTCCCTTCTCTCCACACGGTCACCTGCCCTGAGCTAGAGTAAGAACTGATCTTGCTCTGTTCGTATTCCACCCTGCTCCCCACCAGCTCCCCACCCCCTGCCCCCCCACACCCTCTCCATCTCCTTGGCAGCACCCCCTCCCCCTTTCTTCAACCTCGCCCTTTTCCCCCTCTCCTCTCAGACCGGCCTCGTCCTAGATCCCAGCCCTTAAGTCTGTCTGTTTACCTTCACACCCCACTTTGTGTGACCCCCGTGTCTTCTATTTTTCCTACTTAGCACATCAGCCCCTCTCTCCTTGCCCTCTCCCAGTCTCATCCCCAGGCCGGCCGCTGTCACTCCTTGTCCCTGTCTCTGTTAGCTCTCTCACACGCTCCTTCCTCCCCAGACCCCCTTTGCACACCCTGTCCCGGCGCCTTCCCAGCAGCTTCTTGCTTTCCCCCTGCACCATCTTCTCTCCTCCAGCGTAGCTGGCCTGCCTCCAATCACCTTTTCCACCTGTCCTTCCTGGTGCTGCTTGTAGCCACATGGCTGGTGTTGAGCCCCTCACGTGCCAGGGCCCCCCTCCCGTGCCTGAGGAGGCCTGGAGCTCAGAGGCCTAATGGAACTCGCAGTTGCAGAGCCCATTCTAAACCCTTTCTGCTTGTTTGATGCCATTCAGGGCTTGCGGATGAGGGATGCTGGGGTTAGTGGATCTCTCTTGGGTTCCTCTTCTGCCCCCTCCTCCCCTGGCTGTTCAGGTTTGTTTCCTCGATGGACTGGGGGACCAGAGGAAGAGGTGCTGAGCATGGCAGACCTGGGGTGGGGAAGAGGCAGGGTCCAAGGAGTTGACTAGTAGCTTCTTCCTGGGTCTTGATCTGAGTCCTGGGATGCAAAGGCCTGAAGGATGACCCCACTGGGAGCCTGGGGAATTTCGGATTTTAGGAAGAGCTCATCCTCTCTCTCTAAGTCAGCACTTTGGCATCAGCTGTCATGAGTGTGGCCACAGGCTGGGCCGAAGTGGGCAGAGTGCTGAATCACCTAGACTGGTCCCGGTGACAGCCCCCCTCCTGCCCCGAGCCAGGTCTGCTGCTGTTTCCTCCCTCGGCATTTGGCAACGGCCTTTGTTGGGCAGAGATGCCTTCTCCCTCAGTGTGAAGAGTGAACGGCAGTGCCCCTTTGCTGCCTATCTGCCCCTGGCAGGAGGGCTTGTGTGTGTGTGTCCCATCTACCCTGGGAACTGTGCTGAGCCCCATCCCATCACTGGGAGGGCCAGGCACAGGACTGTGACACCTGCTTGGGCAGGAGCTGAATGGTTGGTTGGGGAGTCGGAGCAGCCTAGGGAGAAAGTGTGTGGAGAGTGGAACCCCTGGGATACGGGCCCTCCCAGTGGGAGCAAGGGATGGGCAGAGCAAAGGATAGCAGAGATCTATCCCATTGGGCCTAGAGGAATTGCTCTGCAAGAGGGTTGGGGGGCAAGAAGGGGGTCTTTGCTACACACCTGTACATTCTGTCCTTTGGCTGAGCTGACACTTCCAGGGAGTAATTTCTTCCTCTTGTCTTTGGATTCAACTGAAGGTGTGTTTATATGCGTGTGCGTGCGTGTGTGCATGCGTGTGTGTGTGTGTGTGAGTGAGAGAGAGAGAGAGAGAGAATTACACAAATGAGGAAACAAACTCACACTTAGCTCAGCAGATGATTGTGTTGTCCCTGTGAAACAGGCACCAGCAGCCGACTGACTCCTGCCTTAGGTACCTTAGCTAACACCCCGAGGCTTTAGCTGGAGGTTAAGAGCACAGAGCTTTTGGGTCCTGCCCCTTTTCTACAAGGCTCCCTCGCTTTAGAAATCGGAGTGTTTAGACTCCTTCAGCCCATGTGCAGCCACTCTGAATGGCCCTCAGGCGGTGCCAGGCAAGCAGGGCATGCAGCTGGGCCTGGCCGCCTTTCCTGGCCTCCTCCAGCATGAGTGGGGGTGGGGCGGGAAGCTCTCCTGGCATTTCCTGGTCTTGGAGGAGGCATCACCTGGAGCTGACTTTGAGAGCTGATTGGATTAAGGTTGTGACGTGGAAGTACTTGATTGGTGCTCAGGTTAAGTGGGGGATTCTGACAACAATGTACATGTTTCCCAGTTTGGTGTGTGAAGCTCTCCCCTCACCCCTCCTTTGACATCACAAAGGCTACAGAGAGATAAACCGAGCCACACAGAAGGGGAGCCAGCTCCCCTGCAACACCTCAGCAGCTCAAGACAGTGATTCAGCTGGCTTATTTGGCTGCTTCTTCCTGGCTGATTTCTGGGGGTTGGGTTCTCACTTTGGATATCTGAAGGGGGTGTACAGGAGGGCCCTTTTCTTCAGTGACTGAAGGAGAGAGAAATTTAAGGCTGGTTATGTACTTACTTGTGTTATTAAGCCCTGCCATGTGCTACCCTGCTAGGGCTGGGTCCTCGGGGATACAAAGGAGGCCAGGGTAGCATGGCTCAGAGCTGCAGGGGGATGGGGAAGAACTGAGTAGTCAGACCAGTGTCATGAGCGAGCTGGAGTGGGAGCATGGGGTGAGGTGTTGAATGGGGCACCTTTCATTCCAGGGGCATCAGCCCATCTCCAGCTATGAAGAGGGGTGGGATGTGCCATCCGGAGTGGCAGCTCAGGGCTGACCCTGAAGTTGACTGTAAAGAAAAGGGGTGGGGGAAGATGAGGTGCAAGATGTTTCCAGATCCCCAGTTTTTTGGGGAAAAGAGGGGTGTTCTGATGGTGGCTGAACTGGACTGGGTGCTGCTTCATCCTGATGGGAGAGTACCCTTAGGGACCTCTAAGACAAAATCAAGGCTACTTAACTTTCCCATTTCTGTCTCCCAAGCCCTTGTATTTTTTTTTTAATTTTATTTTGTATGTATTTTACATCATTGTTCATTTTTGTACATTGCTTGCTTTCTCCTCTCACCAGTTCATCACCGTAGTCCCTTGTGCTCTTCCTTCCCCTGTTTTGCTCCTTCTCCCTCCTCCTCCCCTGCAGGATGTCTCTGATTTATAGTTGTCTGTTGATTTTGATTTTTAATTTATTATAATTATTTTTTTCCTGATCACTTATTTGGTTCCTCTATATTCCTCCTATCAGTGAAACCCTCTGACGTTTTTCTTTTTCTTTTTGCTAAGCCCTTGTATTTTGAGAGTGAAGTGTGGTGTGGATGTGCTTAGAATGTCAGGGTGAGTCACAGAAGGAAGTGCAGTGGCTGCCCTCAGGGAGCATGGGAAAGTAGCAAGCACATGCACAGGTATATGCTTAGGAACAGGTTGAGTGAAGACTCAGCTCTGATGACATGTGTGGAGGGTCTGGCTTCCTGGGGAGGTCAGAGGCAGGTGAGAGTCATGGAGTCCCGATGGGGGGAGGTTGATGGCAAGCCAGGAGGTCCTTAGAAGTTATGTGCGTGAGCACAGGTCACCCATTGATGAGCTAGGAAAACGCCTAAGGCTACAGACACCCCACTTCATCTGTTGGAGGAGCCTCCATCCTTCCCACATACCTAGTTCATTTCACTAGTGTACCCTGATGGAACCCAGGAACTATGCTAGGTTTTGGGCATATAAGTCCAGCTGAAGAGTGAGAAATGAAAACAAGTTAAAATTCCATATAAGAAATGCTGTAACAGGCTAAATGGACCCCTGACACTAAAGGAGCATGACTGAGGACTCACCGTGGGCCCCAGACCCTGGGATGATTGCACCGAACTGTTCTGATAGACCCCCCGCTGACTAGGTATCAGCTTTTGACCTGATATCAAATTTTGAGTATTTACTGTAGTGCCCAGCACAGGCCCAGGCCTGGCTGCAAGAGCAGCTGGTACCTGCATGTGGCCTGGTCCCTGGAATCACAGGCGAGGGCTCTGGAAGCTAATGGCCGCTCTGGTGCTTGAGTAGGCACTTCTGCGGCTTTGCTGACCTGATCACATTTTGCCAGCAGCATGAGAACCCTTGAACCGCCTCCTTCCCTTAGGTCTTAAGACAAGCCAGGAAAAATAAAAGTGGCGTCATCTAATAATAGTCATCATTGTAGAGTGCTTGTCATATTCCAGGCACCCCACTGTATGCCTCTGTTTAATCTTCATAAGGATTACAAAAGGGAGTCTTGTTGGAATCCTGAGACAAGGGACAGACTCAAGCAGGTTGTTATTTCTTTAAGAGTATAGGCAGGGGCGTTGCAGAGCTAGAATTTAAACCTGTGTTCATTTGAGGTCAAAGCCAGTGTTGTTCTCCGAAGCGTTGCGCTGCGCTCCCCTTGCCTTGGCGGAAAAATAAAGAACTGGGATATTGGATCCACTCTCACAGGCTCTCTAGGAAAATCTGTGGGAGGGACCCTGGTAGCATGTATTTTTTAGTACCTGCTCTGTTCTGAAGGAGACAGAAGTGGAATTTCTAATTCAAAATAGGAGAAATAAGGTGGAAATGCATGAAACCCTTAGGAATAATAAAAGCAAGCATGTGCTTATGTCTCATTGGTGCCTGAGTCTCTGGACAGTAAACTATCAAGGGAGGAGGGATCCTTCAGCGCGGCTGTTGGGGTCTGGGAGGCCACATGCGTGGTAGAAATTGAGCGTTCCTTGAGGTTAGAGAAGTCCACTTTCAAATGTTGGTTCTTCCACTGACTCACTGAGGGGCTACTGTTTCCCCCTCTGCAAAGTAGGGGCATCAATTTGAACTTTGCATGGGGTTGTAATAGCATAATCACTAGTTAATAATATTGTATCAAATGTTGAAAGTTGCTAAGAAACTGGACTTAAAAGTTTCTATCACACACAGAAAATATTGTAACTGTTGTGATGGATGGTAACTGGACTTACTGTGATGATCATTTTGCAAGTGATCAAACAGCAAATCATGTTGTCCTCCT